TGAAAAAAAATTGTCCTGAAGATTTGTATGTGTGTGTGTGGGGAATTGTCTTGAAAAATGTCACATTTCAGAATTTCTAGGGACCCATTGATTTTCTCAGTAAATATATTTTGAACAAGGTTTTTACCATGATAGAACCAAATTCTAGAAAAATCTCACTGCAAGGAAGGACTAAACACCGTACTCCAGGACTGAATACCAGTATAAATAAAATATTGGAATCCCTGATGTATAAAATATTAGATAACTAGCAATGTAGAAATTGACTAAATGTCAAGAAAATGGTATTTATAAATGTTAGTTTTAATTTTATTTTCTTTCATTTTCATGATTTCCACTTCTTCCTTACTTGGTTTTATTTTCATTGCCTTGATTTCTTCATTGTACTCTTTTTTCCTTTGTCTTCATCTCTGGTTTTCTTTTTTCCTTTCTTACCACTCATTCTATCCCTAACTTTTTACTTTGTTCCATAATTAGCTTTTCAATAACTCCTCTCATTTATTTATTCTTTTTTACATCTCACCATCCTCTCCTTTTCTTTCTGTCACCCATTTTACACAGCTTTCCCTTTCAGATATTTATTTATCTATCTACTATTTATTCATTTAAGTTTGGGCTAGTTTTGATTTTTTGAGGAAGACATTTAGGAAGTACACTTCACCAGTCTGTGACAGCATTTTTAAACACTGAGGTGAAATTCATGTAACACAAAATCGACCATTTCATAGTGCACAACTCAGTGACATTTAGTGTGCTCACAATACCGTCTTGGTTTTATATTTGTGCGTGTACAGCTAAGTAGGCACGAGAGGAGTCTGTGCACAGCTCAGGCACGTGGGAGTGTGCTTGTGTGTGGGACCCAGAGGGGACACTGGAGAGAAGACTTTCCTGTGACCACAGAAAGAACCCCTGGCGCTCTCCTCCACCTCCCTAGTGATTTTGGCTTCGCTGCAGGGTTGCTCAACATTTTACCTCTGCCTTTGATGTGGTTGCCAAACGACCCAGAAACATAATCTCTTTTTTATGTTAATGTGGCAGTAACTATTTACACAACAGTGGGGGACTTTGAAGTACTGTCTATAAGCACACACCACTATGGAGAATAGATTCCAAGTTCCTCGGGTTGTGGGGAACAGCTCAGAAGGGACAAGTCTTCTCAATGAGGTAGGACTGGTCCCCATACTGCAGGGTCCTTTGTCATGCCTCACCTTCCACCTGTCAGGGATATTCTCTGAGCTAGACAAAAATACCCTTAGGTTCAAATCTTGCTTGCACGCTGATATTTAGAAATAAGCACTCAGTTTATCTGTTTCTGATATTGTGCATAATCAGAGCCCCGTATTTTTCTTAGAGGAAGAAAAGATCTACTCTAAGCTGCTGTATTCACCGCCGTATCTGACACGAAGTAGATGATAGCCTTTTCAAGTTCATAAAAGAGGCCAGTTAATCAAATACCGCAAGAAGAGAATCCCTAACGGGGGATGTGTGCTGTGTTCCTCTCCCTTCCGGTCATGCTGGCGATGTGGCTGAAAGGCCAGACTTCAAGTTCACAGGTGAGTGGGACGGGCCTGCTCTGGTCCACCATGGCTCTGAAGCGAAAGGGACCAAAAGCAGGAACTCAGTCCTCTTGATGCGCCTCCTAATCTTTGTGTTTGGTGAATCCACAGGCTTTAAACGACGGCCATCTCTGTGCTGCACATACCCAGGGCCGTGCTGTGCATAGGAGCCGCGTAGCCACGGCCCTGGGTTGTCAGACGGTCGGTTCACCGGCTGCCTCCTCCACCGTCTGCTCGCTCCACCTGTTTTCTCCATCCGCGCAACAGAGACACTGCACCAAAGGTCAGTGTTGTGAAGATCATTCTATTACATTACGTTCTATTGTATTAATAGATACAAGAAGCATTTAATAGAATGTCTGGTGTAGAATAGGTTTTTGGCAAATTAAGTGTTTATATCAACTTGATATTGAAAAAAGTGCAGTTATGGTATTAAATTCATCTCTTAACATTCTTCCCACCCCAGGGAACTTTTGCACTTTGGCTTAGGGAGAATACTTCAGGAGCTGGTGTTTTTTCTTCCTGCCATCTGCCATCAGAATAAGACAAGACTGAGAAGATTTTTCTGAAATTGAACCTGACCTTTCAGTAATTCACAGGGTAATTGAGTTGGGTAAGTTATTTGGAACAATTTTATAAAGCAACATATTTTACTTTGACTTTAACTTCATTTTTTAAAAACATATATATTTTATTTTAAAAGTTGCTTTCACAAGTAACGTGTCACTTGGAAGTACACCTGTGGGACTGTATAACTGAGCAAAGACTACGTGGCTTTAAGCACAAATAGTCTGCTTCGGATATGTTTTTGGAAATAGGTGGGAAACACCACTTGTTGTCAGATTGATTTTTAAAAACTGACCTTTCTTTCAGTCCTGGTTATAGAGCTGGTATAAACAGTGTAAACGAATCCACCAATAAGCACCCCCTTCACGTCCACACCACCCTTGTGCACATATATACCTGCCGATACACCTGGAGGAGTTGCTGCATCACGGTTACATCTGAGCCCCTGGCAGGCAGGCCTGAAGCAAGGTTATTTGGAATAAGTCTCACATACAGTGCCGGACAAGTCACCGGTGTGCCTTAAGGAACAGGACACAGTAGAAATACTTCTTCAAAACAATTTACCCCACTTCGGTATATTCTAGGTTGTGTGATTTGCATAGCCTTTTAATTTATTTCATGAAACCCTAATACAAAGTAGGAAGCACAGCATAACTATTGATTTCTTCAACACCTATATTGTCAACAAGTTTTGAAATACGTGTATATGTTTCTGTGCCATCTGTAGCCACCAGGATATTAAGTGGAAAGGAGAAAAATAAAGGGAAAGGGAATAAAGGGAAAATAAAGGGAATACATTTCAAATATTTAGATTTAAAATGATATCCCTAGGGAAAATAGTTATAATGCATTTTCCAGAAAACTCCATTGCCTATCAACAAGGACCTCATGACCCTGCAGTCCAAATATTCTGAAAACCATTAAGTGTAGGGAGTCATACCTTGGGAACAAAGCAGCTGGATGGAGAAGGATGGATGTGTCTTGCTTTTAGCTGTATTTAGCTGTAGTGTTCCCTTTAGGTGTTGGTGGACCTTTAAAAAGCATGAGGGTGTCAGAAGCCCATTTACATAAGGCTAAGAAAGCACTGTAAACATTACCTGTCTATATTTTTATTGGAATCTCACGACAAGGAAGTGTTCCATGCAGTACAATGACAATATTTCCTATTCCAATGTGCAAAGTAGAGTAACAAAAAGAACTTGATGTGCAACTAGGTATGATGCAAAATAAAATTACAAGGGAGGGACAACAAAAAATTAAGATGACACCATTGATTTCTAGCCACAAGGCTAAACAACCTGTTAATATGGAACCTTCTAGAAAAATATCATTCTTGATTATAAACTACCTATTTGTCATGAAGATTTTGAATCCTCTATTTTATCTTTCCCCACAGTGAAGAATCTCACTTACATGTGTAAGCATGCTGCATGTCTTTGCCAGTCTCATAGCTCAGTATCATGTTCCAGCTAATCTCGGTGTGGGTGACAGGGGCTGCCAGGGCCGGGCCGTCAGTGTGGTGTCTGACATTGTTTGATCATGTCCACTGTGTGACGTTCGCCTTCTGAAAGCTCTGTGTTTAATAAATCCCTTGAAATTTGGGGCCTTATTCAACACAATACTAATTTCTCAGTATTTTATGACTAACTGTCTGAATGTTGCTATCTTTACAAGAATGAACTATAGTCTTAAGTCCCCCAAGCCACCTGTGTCATTAGCGACTTGATATCTAACAATCACTCTAAAGATTGAAACAGGAAGCTTTCAGTAGAGGTGACTAGTCTGGGGTCCATCTCTAGTCATGGCCCGAACAGTCTAGAAGCCATTCGAATAATGATGTTACAAGTATTATCACAGAATCATCTCCTAGACCTCAGACTCTCACCTGCATCCTTTCGTTGTGGATCCCTCTGTGGGGAATTTCCTTCTGTGGGTGAGCAAACATAAAGAACTTCTGTTTGGGGGTCAAAGAACCACTACAGTCTATGGCCTTGGGTTCTATAATTGTGCCCTGACCTTCTATCTTTCTGTCTTCACTGGTGAGGACATATCGATGTTATACTGTGAGGGAATGAGCTGTCCTTTCCTTAAGAGAACACTGTTATTAAGTAATTACCTGACACCAATAAACATGACACTAAATTCCTCTTGGGCACATAAGAGATGAATTTTAGAAGCTATGTATACCCTTTCTCTATGCAACACCTGACTCTTGAATTAGACAGACCCTTGTGGTTTGGTCTTGCCTGACTGGGCCACTTGTGTGACGTAGGTGGAGAAGGGGTCTCCCATTTGACACTCTGAAAGAGAAAAGGCAAGTTACAGATGCTAAATTCAAAACCAGTTAATGAAAGAAAAATACCCTGTAAGAATATTTTTATTTAAAACACTTAGGATTTCATAGATACATCCCACTGAGGAGAGGTGAGTAGGGGTGTGTCGGAGATATTTAGGGAGGAAACCCAGAAAACAAGAAGTGGTGAAACGGTACTCCTGAGCCCTTTTCAGAATTCCATCTTCCATGTGGACGAACACTGCCTCACTCCTAGGAGGACAGGGGCTTCCCTGCCGTAACTACTAAATGGAGTGGAGTTGTAAGTCTGAGTACTTCATGTCCCCCTCCTGCTGAAGAACAAGTGTTTGGGGGAAATTACGTCCCAATAAACTGAATTCCAAGAGTGTAACCTCTTCTCCTTGTTCTCCAGCTGCACAGCTGACCCCGTGGTGTTTTTCGTCTGCGAATGTGTTCAGGCACAGTTTGGCTGAGATGTGGTAGGGAAATGTTAAGTTCAGATGGGTTCCAAAAAGTTCTATAAGCCAATCCCGAGTTTCCCTGACTTCTTACATTAGCATCTTTAGTTTGGTCCTCAGAAGCTCATGAACCAGGAAAATGAAACCCAGACGTGGGTGAGAGAGTTCATTCTGCTGGGGCTGGCCAGGGACTGGAAAGCTCAGGTCTCACTCTTTGTCTTGTTCCTGACCATGTACTTGGTGACCGTTGTGGGAAATGTCCTCATTCTTCTCCTGATCAGGCTGGACAGCAGGCTGCACACCCCCATGTACTTCTTCCTCACCGTTTTATCCTTTGTGGACCTTTGTTATGCAAACAGCATTGTCCCACAGATGCTTGCCCACTTCTTCTCAGCCCGGAAGTCCATCCCGTTCCCCAGCTGTGTGCTCCAGCTCCACGTGTCCCTGGCGATGGGCGGCTCTGAGTTCTTCCTGCTGGGAGCCATGGCCTATGACCGCTATGTGGCGGTGTGCCACCCGCTGCACTACACGGTCATCATGCATGGGGGGCTGTGCCTGGGGCTGGCTGCCGGCAGCCTGGTGGCTGGTTTCATGAATTCCCTGATGGAAGCGATCATCACCTTCCGGCTTCCCCTGTGTCACAATATCATTAATCATTTTGCCTGTGAGACCCTGGCCGTGCTGAGGCTAGCCTGTGTGGACATCTCATTCAATATGGTCATGGTGGCCATCTCAGGGTTTCTGGTGATCATGCTTCCCTGTTCCCTGGTCCTATTCTCCTACGGTCATATAGTTGCTGCCATTCTGCGCATTCGCTCTGCTCAGGGACGTAGCAAAGCCTTTGGGACCTGTGCCTCCCACCTCACTGTGGTTTGCATGTGCTTTGGGGCTACCATCTTCACCTACCTGAGGCCACGCTCGGCCTCTGCAGTGGAGAAGGAGAAGACAGTCGCACTGTTCTATGCTGTGGTGGCACCTATGTTGAACCCCTTGATCTACAGCTTGAGAAATAAGGACGTTATGGCTGCTTTCCAGAAACTCTTAAGAGAAATTCAGAGATAAAAGATAAAGACTGTAAGAACTTCTCATCAGCTATCATCAAAACAAGGAGGAGATCACATTAATGTGGATGGGACTCCTACATTTACACTGAAGAAGACTGTTATGGTCAAATCCTTGCATTCAAATGAAATATTCCTCCATCTGATTAATAAATTGTCTTCCACAGGCCAATAATAGATGGTTTATGTCAGTGAGCCACGAGAGAGGCTCGTCTAAGACCCTCTTGTCTCGGGTATCCAGTGGTATTTAGACTTCATATGACCCTTTTGGTTTTACTGGTGTATCAGTGTCAGCAGGAATGATCTGTGGCTCCATCAGGCAGGCCTGGTATTTGGCATCACTAGATAAATGACTTCCACAGATTAGGGCTCCTTCTACCTTGTGGAACAGAGTGGAGAATGTCTGTCCCTCTTCCCCCGGACAATACTCCAGTTACCTGTAGAACGACCTTATTTCCTCCAGAATAATCAGAAATAGTTTCTCCAACTCTTTCTTAAATAACAGCAATTTTTTAACTTCTAACACCATTTGTGTCTTCATCTAGAATATGATGTCATATCCTGGAATAAATAATACACAAACACGATATGTGTTCAGACCAGCACATTGGATCTCATTTGCTTTTCAAGAAGCAGTTTTGCTTTTAATATGCAAAATATCTGTGGCTTTACTATGTTCTTTTTTGTTGTGGTAAAATATATATAACATAAAAGTTGCCACATTAGCCATCTTTTAAGAGCACAATTCAATAGCATTAGTTGCATTCAAAAGTGGTGTGTAAACATCACCAAATCTATTTTCAAAATTGTTCATGATTATAGTCTTTTATCTAACTAATTTTCTAAGATCTATTTTCTATAAACTGGTTACAAAGTCTCCACACCCACTGCAGTCTTTTTTTAAAAGCTTAAATATAAGTGCATATATTTAGCTGTGCTAATTGTTGTTACTGATTTTCGCACATCAAACCAATCTGCCAAGATTATTTTGAAGTTTGATCCTCTAGTTTATTCCATTTAATTTACCTTCTCTTTCTGCTCCATAAATATAATAAGCAGAAAAAGTTACAAAAAGAAATACCCAATAGTACATGTCAATTGTATCTCACTGCAAACCTACCTTTAGGTGGCAAAAAGGTAGGTGACCCTACCTTTAGGGTCCAGATATTATATAATTGAAATCATAGGGTATGTAGTCTTTTCAGATTGGCTTCTCTGCCTTAGTATTATACATTTAAGTTTCCTACATGTCTTTTCATGGCTTAATAGTTCATTTCTTTTTGGAACTGCATAATGTTCCATTATCTGTATGTTTTCCAATTTATCCATCCACCTCCTGATGATCATGTTTGTTTTAAGTTTTGGTAATTATGAATAAAGCTGCTAGGCTTTGTGTAAACATACTTTTGACTTCTTTGGGTAAATACCAAGACACATGATTGTGGGACCATATGAAAAATATATGTTCAATTTTGTAAAAACCACCAACTGCCTTTCAAAGTGGCTGTATCATTTTGCATTCCCACCCGCAGTGAATGGAAGTTTCTGTTGCTCCACTTTTCACCACCAACTGGTGGTGTTTGTCAGTGTTCTGCATTTTGGCATTCTAACAGATGTGTAGTAGTATTAAATTATTGTTTTAATGTGCATTGTCCTGATGATATATGTTGCAAAACATATTTTCATCTGTGTATCTTTGATGAGGTGTCTGTTAAGGTATAGGGCCATTTATAAATCAGGTTTTTTTTTCTTATTGTGAAGTTTTAAGAGTTCTTCATATATTTTGGATAATAGTTATTTATCAGATGGGTCTTTTACAAAAACTTCCTTCCAGGGTGTAGCTTATCTTTTCATTCTCTTGACATCATTTGCTTTTGAATAATGACATAAATACATAGGCAAGAGCTCAATAAAATTATTACCCATTTATCCTTTAAAAGATGATTACGCTTATGACAAGAAATGTGGAAAGAACTTCAGGCACCAAAAAATGGCTTAAAGTAAAAGACTGGGGGCATGAAAACTAAGTTGTGATAGGACAGGCAACAAGCTAAAACCTTCTAAACTTAAGCTTTAAAAGCTATACATTTTCATGTGTTGAAAGTGAAGAAATCAAAGCCAGACTGGTAAGTACAAAACAAAGCTGCTGCCCCTACGGGGTATGAGGACTTGGATAGAGCCCAGTCGAGAAAGTGGGTTTAATGAGATCCGGTTCATCACCTTCCCTTAAGGGACTGTCCTGGGCAATGTTGTCACGGCTCACAGCCCAGCTTCTGTGAGGCCTGGCAGGAAGTCCACACCGCACAGGTTGTCCTTCCTCACCTGGACTTTTATCTCCGTTTGGCCTAATGCTAGCTTCCTGTGATACCACAATCACTCCTAATGGTCACCTGAAACTCGGGCTCTGTTGTCAGCAAACACCTCTCTCTTCTGAGTGTCTTCCTTGAACGCAGTCTTCTCCTTCTTGTTCTATTTGAACCTGACTGTTCACTGAGAACTCACTCTGATTCCCCTCCGCCCTCTCAAGCACAGACGCTTTGCCTCCCACATTTCCTCCTCTGACGGCGGTGGGTGGAACGGGGAAGAGCGTGTCTCTCCTGCTCCTCTGCTCCTTCCAGACCTTTCTACTTTTCTCTGAATGACCCCAGGTTCTCTGAGGCATATGCCGCCAAGCTAGAGCACCAGCACACCCTCTTTTTCTCATCGCTTACCGTCTGTCCTCTTCATTTCATTGGGTTGGCCAAAAAGTCCGTTTAGCTTGTTCCATAAAATAAAAGACACATTTTTCACTTTCACCAGTAACTTTATGGATTTGGATATTTTGAGTATGTTGGCTATCTCTTGCTAGTGGCTTCTGGTGGATAGAGGCCAGAGGTGCTGCTAAACATCTTCCAGTGCCTAAGACAGCCCCCCAGCAAAGAATTATTTGGCCAAAATGTCAATAGGACCCAGAAACTTCACAAACCACTTTTGACACGTTTGATTAGTCACAGCACCTTCTCCATACACTGCATAAATTTTTTTTTTGCTTTTCAGTTGTATTTTTACATTTTTTGAAATAATACAGCATAATATGCTGAAAATGTTGCATATTTTCTTCCATCTTCTATTAAAATGGCTGCACGAAAATTCACCAATTTTGATAAGTTTTTTTAATGCACACTGTTGTGACAGCTGTCACAATACAATCTAACAACATTCTTTCGAACGAAGTTAAAGACAACTAAGCGCTACTACAGCCATTTTCTACATCTGTGCAGATCCATTTGGTATCCTGGCCCCTCAGTTGGTTGACTTCTTATCTCCTTCCAGTGTCTGGACCTCTAACCCACTCTTGGTCACCTACTGCTGTGCTTATACCCCACCAGCAGTGTCCAGCCTTTTGGTGTGTCTGGCCCACACTGGAAGAAGAAGAGTTGTCTTGGGCCACACATTAAATATACACACACTAACAAAAAGTGATGAGCGAAGAAAAGGTTTTAAGTAAATTTACGATTTTGTGTTGGGCTGCATTCATAGCCGTCCTGGGCCCCGGGTTGGGCACCCCTGCCTAAACCTTTCTGTTGCCAGTCATCGAACTACCTCTAACTTCTCCGTGTCAAGTTCCCCGCTCTGACCACTCCCTCTGATTCCTGCCTTTCCAGTTAACTCCATACAGTACAACTCCAACACACTTTGCCTCTACTTCATTCACCCTAGCATGCTTTTCTGATCCGTTACCAGCCTGCCCCCCCATACCTTGTCTTGTTACCCCTCTTCCCCAGCGCAGCTTCCATGCAAATGTGTACGGTCACTCCTTCCCTGTGCTCTGCGGTCGCCTCACAGACATTGCATCTACAGTTACATAGCTCTCCTCTCCTACATCCAGAAGCAGGTTTGCCATCAAGCTAATGACCTGAAGCTTCAGGACCCCTTACTTGTCCAAATGGTGACTAGATAATGAACCGTGATAACACTGCTCAGCAATAAAAATAAATAATTTCCCCTTATGATTGAAAATCCTGGCCATAACACAAACACAGATAGAAAAAAAACTGGGGGGAAAGAAAAGGCTGACAACCAGGCAGCAGCCTGGACCTGAAGGACAATGCGACAGTGATTTCCCAGAGTTTCCTGATTTCCTCCCATGTGTTCTGGACAGGGATCTGAAAAGTTCTCCAACTAGAACTGCCAACAGGCATAGGCAAAAATAGCTTCAAGAAAAGCCTGTGTAGTTGAATCCCAGGATAAGATAGTCTCAGTGCATCATGGACTATAGCCAGTTTGTACCTGCTGACCATCTCCAACCTATTTGGGATTATTTGTATGAAATTTGGACCCCAACCATCTTGTATAAAGGGTCACAGTCACGCTAATGCACAGAACCCTCTCGCAATGGATGGGCATGCTTTGGGGACGTGCACTCCCTGATCCCATTTCCTTCCCACTTGACAGCACAGAGGTGACCACACATGGTTAACACAACTATCCTTTGGTGGACACTGTCATTTCCATTTCTATTAGTGACCACCATATCACAATATATTTAAGATCCATGTTGCAAAATTGTGGATACCAAATTGTACATTCTAGAGGATGTCAGAGTTTTTCCAGGATTTCTAGTTAGATTGAGGCTGGAGATTTGAAAGAACTGCCTTATATTTGTTTGCTGCAATTTGGTTTTGATGTTTCAGTCTGCAAGAGAAACTATATCAAAGGCTGCTTATGCCGTTAACAAGCACGGCAGACTCAATTGATTATGACTGTTCATATTGCCATTTCCCATCATGGAACCACAGTGAACATGACCACTTTCCTTCCTGTGAGGGCAACTTCGCAGTTTAGCAGGTTACAGCGAGGTGGTGTTTGGTAAACCAGAGTTCTGTCTCAGAACATGAACTATTGGTCAAGTGGCTCCCAAAGGCAGTTGACACAGTCATGCTGATCCCCTCACATGATAAGTTTATTTACACACAATTATGGCACAGACATTTATAACAAAACCTTTAATTCAAAATGTAC